AGAGAGAGGATAAGAAAAACAAGGAATGCAATCTGGTTGCTGGAAAAATACACCATGAGAGCATAAAACTCATTATCAATATCGTGCCAGGCTTCACGCACTACTCACTAATAATCTCAGAGTTTAGGGCTTTTATGACTTACCTTAACAACTTTTTATAGAAAACATGAGTTGTTCCTATAATTGAACTTCAGTATCTTGCTATAATCAATGTTCTTCATTATTCCTGTAATTTGATCATAAGAGCAGTTAAATGTAAGTTCCAAAAAAATTCAAGAAATAGCAAAGAACTTGCTCACAGCTAATCGTCTACCCAGACGTACTCCTCCACTTTAGCCATTGCAAAATCATAACAAAAAATAATAATAATAATAATAAACAAAAATAAATAAAAATAAAATGCACCATTAGCTATGAGTTTGATGCTTTGGTTTTCCTTTTAGATGTCGTCTTATTAGTCATTGCTGCAAATTTGATGCAATCAAGAGCAGTCTCATACCTGAATCACTGTTGAAGGCTTGAAAATAAACTTGGTGAAAAACCTCCTGTTGGCGTTAAATGAAAAGAATACTAGAGCCGAAGAAAACTTTTAAATCATCAGAAGTCTCCTTAAATAGCTATGATATATATATAGCTCAATATTATACAAATATAAAAAGGGACCAAACCTCACTAAATAATCCAAACTCTAATCTTAATTCTATAGCATGATATAAATAAAAAGACAAGCACGACAGTAACAATTTATCTGCAATATTATACACCAAGATTATTAGTTTTCAAGCTAGAATTTTAGAATTCTATGCATTCTAAGTTGAGTTAGTTTAGAAGTGCAATCCAACTAAATTAGTTTCTTGGAACTACTATCTATTTTGGTAATATTAGCAGTGGAAAATGTTTACAAGCTTGCGTATGCTTTTAATTATCATTTATAAAGAGGCCCCTAATGGCCAAGGATCATCCTGTGCTCGCAAATCTCTCTGTCTCCCTATCCAAAACACTTGTAACTATTGAATTATGTGAGAATCTCAAATAACAAGAATCTTGATGTATAACTCAACATCTATGAGCGTTTTGGACAAGGGAACAGAGGATCCCATCCCACGTTGTCCCTTATTGTCATAAGACATTACAGTTCTCGATTTTCTTGATGAATGATGCTGGAACTTTCCATTGATCCAATAGTAGCTCTCGATCAACCATTGAGTAGATTATTTTTCCCAATCTTTATATCTCAAATCTTTAAAAGCGCTGAATTTATTCTCCCATTAAATCGCTCATAGCCCTTTACATTAACAAAATCAATGCACAAATCAACCTTTAATAGCTTCTTTTGTCTTTTGTCCTTTTCTTTTTTCTTTCCCTTTTCTTCTCTAGATATAAATTTAAATCTAATCAAAATCTATTTCCCTTTGTTGATACACAATACCGCCTCCCTACGATTGCTCTAAAAACAAGTCTGCAGAGCGCGATATCAAACTCCATAAAAGACAAAGTGAAACTCTATAACACCAATTAATTTTAGGAGAGATAATAAAACTCGATCCAACACCTTAATTTAACTACTTAATTCACCACTTCATTGCAGTTCAGCCCGAAAGATCAAGAATATCAATATCTTGGGTTTGACAAGTAAGCACATAACCAATCAACTCTTAAGCCCTAAAGCAACTTTTTCAAATTAAAAGTTACCAGCTAAGAAAAATTCCAATCTATGGACCACAAATTTATATGAAGCTTCTTGGAACTCAATAATCATACTCCTACCATGAGCACCCAACAATTTCCAAACATGTGAATAACATTTGGCATAAATAGCATGGAAATAAACACCAGACACTTGGCACAAAAAACAGACATATAACAACATGGAAATGCAGATATGGAAAATTCTACAAGTAGGAAACCGAGACAGCAAGGGTTCAAAATCATAAATACATGTTCACTCATATTCAGATATATAGATTATTGACTTCTGATACATGTACATGTCTTCATATATGTACAGAGACCTCAATGAGCATTCATACTGCAATAAACCAACACACGCAAGAAAGAGATATGGATGGAATTAAACCCAAACAAATATTGCCATCATGAAATTCCCAAAAAAAATTCTATTCAAGCTGTAAGCACAAATACAAAAACAGATAAAGATCACACTTTTTTTTGTTGAGTATGTTTTTTAATCACACTTTTTAAGTTTTTTGAAGTGTGATCTTTGAGAGTGTAATTAAAAAAGGTCATTTTTAGTCACACTTTTTAAGTGTCATTAAAAAATGATTCATCACATTCTTTAAATGTGATTAATAATATTTAGATCACATCTTTTAAGTGTGATTAAAAACATTTAGATCACATCTTTTAAGTGTGATTAAAACATTTAGACCACATCTTTTAAGTATGATTAATAATATTAGACCACATCTTTTAAATGTAATTAAAAACATTTAGATCACATCTTTTAAGTGTGATTAATAACATTTAGATCACATCTTTTAAGTGTGACAAATAACTTAATAAACCTGTGATAAAAAAAAAATCAGCATATTTAAAGAATAATCAATATTATTTTTGTACGCACATTTGAAGAATGTAATACACAATATATACTATATTTTAAATCACAACCATATATTGAATAGAATAACGTCATATATTTCATAAATGAAAGTTAAATGTTCAAAAGTATATACAAAGGAATTAATAAAAAAATTTAACTGTAATCTATGAAGCACGGACACGCCACACGGACACGCATACGGACACGGACACGGACACGGGACACAGCAATTTCTAAAAAATAGGGACACGGACACGGCAGGGGACACGGCAGGGGACACGGCAAATTTTTTAATTTTTTTATAAATATTTTTATTTTAATACATATTAATTATTTTATTTATTTATTATATTTTTTAAATAATTATTTTTTTTATTTTATTTTACATACCCGTGTTTATTTTTTATTTATTATAATGTATGAGTATATATTATCTTACAATATGTATTATATATTATCTTACAATATGTATTATATATTATCTTATAAATATATTATATTTTATATAATAACTATTATATAAATATATAATAATAATAGTTAACTAAACCCTCAGAATAGTTAACTATAATAGTTAATAATAATAGTTAACTATTATATAATATATATAAAATATATAATAATATATGAGTATATATATAATAATAATAATAATAATAACTATTATATAATAAGTGAACCCTCAGAACGGCAGAAGCAAGGGAGGGAGAGAAGGAGAGAGAGAGAGAGGGAGACAGGTCAAGGTCAAGGTCGCGATCGTGATTGCGATCGCGATCGAGAGGGAGAGAGAGAGAAGATTGTGAAGGCGAGAGAGAGAGACAGATCGCGATGTCGTGGGCTTGGAGCTTCGATGGAGCTTCGACCTTCTGATGGAGCTTGGAGCTTCGACCTTCTGATGGAGCTTGGAGCTTCGATCTTCGATCTTCGACTGGATTCATGGAGCTTCGATCTTCACAGGTTTGTCGCTCTTCACTCTCTTCCTTCACACTCTCTCCTTTATCTCTCCCTCTTTGCCGTGTCTCACGCCGTGTCCAGATCTGGACACGCGTGTCCCCTACAAGAAAAACAATTAATTAAAGGGACACGGCAGATGGCGTGTCCCGTACGTGTCTCCGGCGTGTCCCCGTGTCCCCGGCGTGTCCCGTGTCTGACACCGCCACGGCACTGATTTTGCCGTGTCTATGCTTCATAAGATAATTACATATATTAAAAATGAAAAAAACTTAAAAAAACTAAATTCTTGAATTCTTTAACCATATTTTGCATTTCTCTAGGAAATTTCTAACCTGAAAAATAAAAACACAAATTAATTCAAAAACCACTAAAATCAAAAAATATATTATGAAAATGGAATAAATCTAAAGAATCGTATAACATAGCTCAAGGAAAGAGTCAGAAAGAAAAATATATATAACCACTTCATTTTTAGGAATTAATCATTGCTAATGCTACTAGGTCCAACATAATGAAGAGTACATCTAGAATTTCAAAGAGCAACTGCTCAATCACTTCGATAATACAAGTCAAACAATTGAAAATGCAACTTAATATGTTTAAATTCTATCATGATTAAAATGTATATGTTATAATTACAAGGGCAATTCATGATCAAATATTTGCAATACAAAACATATGCATGAAATGACACTCACTTTTCATATAGACCCTTAATTTGTCCTTCCAGATCTTCATTGAGAACTATTAGATATCCCTTCAAACGCATGTTCAAAATGTTCCTCACTGCAACAGATAGAAGCAATGAAATAAGTTTTTAAACCAAAGAGTGGAAGTGACAAAGCATTTTCAAGAGCTGTAAATCTGACAACTAGCTATCAGAATTTTCCTTCCTCTGGATTTTGTCGTTTCAAATTGATGTGATGTTTTCCTTCTTTTCCCCGTTACTTCGCTTGATTCTATTTGATTCTATTCAGCATTTTACTGGTTGATGAAGTTAAACAAAGCAAAGGGGCCATTATTCTATTCATTGATGAGTTGCCAACTCTGGGATCAGAATGTAACAGGGAATTTCTGCTTAATCTCCCATTTATCAGTCAAAGCTCTTACCAAAAAAAAACTTTAAGAAGCAACAAAATACAGAAATGAAAATTAAATTCACATAAAAGAGAAAGATTCAGTAGAAGTTATGAAGATAAACCTCATCTTGACAATTATCAATAATCTTTTTGATCCTGAAGACCTCCCAAATAATCTTTTTGATCCTGAAGACCTCCCAAAAAATCTGACTCTCTTCTTCAATATCATCAGTCAATGCCTCAGCTTCTCCATAACTGTAATTGCTCACTTGATTGATATTGAATCTTATCATAGGTTCTCCATAGTGTAATAGGTTCGAAAATAACCCAGAAATCAGATTTTTTTTTAGGAGGAATCTATGTGCTAATTCCAAGAATACTATGGCAAAGAAATAGTGAAATACAAGGAAGGAAAATACACTCTCAGGATTCCAGCATTCTTTCTAACGCTTCAAGAATAATTACCACAACAATTGAGTAATTGATGCTGATCCTAAAGGTTTTGCATATGGATAAACCTAAATGCCAACAAGCATATGCCAGATAAGGAAAACTTAAGACATATAGGCCCCGTTTGTTTTCAGAGGTAGAATGGAGGGGATTCATAGTGAGGGGATTGTTAGTGAGATAGTGAGGGGATTAAGTAAAATTGTGTTTGTTTTGATAATAGTTAGCGTAGGAATTGTTAAATTATTTTTATAAAAAATAATAAAACAAATAAAAAAATATAAAAAATTAAAGATTAATGTTTATAAAAAAAATTCCCAATATATAAAAAATAAAAATAAATAAAAAACTTTCTAATCCCCTCACTATTTTTCTAATACCATCTCCACCTCCTCTATCTCAATCCCCTCCCCAACCTCCATCTATATCACCTCCACCATCCAAATCCCCTCCCCAACTCTACAAACAAACACAACACTAAATAACACCTCCACCATCCTAATCCCCTTTCATCTACATAACCCAAAACAAACGGGCCCCTATAGACAAAATGCACAATTCAACATCCCAAAAACATGAGAGAACAAGTTCAACATCCGGACCTAAAAGCAGATTAGGGTATAATTACATAATTCCTCTATTTTTTAAATTTTTTTTACGTCTACCTTCCGTTTGAGAACAACTAGGCTCTTGGTGTGCAACGAAGACTGTGGGATGACCCCATTTGAAGGAGGAAGTTCAATCAGTCCACTACGCTCTTGGTGTGCATCGGAGACTGGGGGATGACCCCATTTGAAGGAGGAAGTCCAATCAGTCCACAAAGCAAAGTCTGATAACACATAAATTAGAAGAGAACATAAGCTCTAGGTAAAGCAAAGCAGATAAGAACAACTGCTAGGAATAGGAGAAGTCCAATTGTATATACCATGAATCCCAACAAGACGATGTCATAATGGTAAGCAGAAGGATTCTTGAGATTGAACTTTTGTTGCGCCTTCTGTGAAGCAACACTGTGGTCAAAGAAGTAAAGCCCTGCTATCATTACAGCTGGAATAAAGACAGCAAAGATGTAAGTGAGAGGAACTTTGGCCATATCCTACATGACAAAATTTTCAGAACAATGTAATTATATAAATCATTTTGTGTTTTATGATTTGTAGCAGGTTCAGAGTATCTAAATATATCCACATACCATAACAATATCTTGGGGATCCACCTGCCAAGAAAACAAATATTCAAATGTCATTTAACCAAGTTAAGAGATAATTCTAGTTTCTAAAAAGAAATAAAAATTCCAACAATTCCAACAATTCCACCCCAATAAATAATAGACAACTCATGTTTTAACATGATAGTGATCTGAAAATATTCTAAATCATGTCAGACCAGGTTTGTTTTACCATAGCAAATGTTCACTTTTTCCGCATGACATTCAATTTAGCAATTCATTAAGGCGAACCCCTGACTAATCAAAGTACTTTTGGTTATAACCTATCCAAAAGGTGGTGATTCTTTGCCATCAGATGCACAGGCAGATCTGACAAGCCCCAGGACAGGAAATTCAGCACATAGAGGAAAAATAGTCATGTATGACAAATATGGAGCTGGTCAGGGATCAAAATCACCCAATCAATCAAGCACTCCAAATGAGACAACATTTTCACTTATAATATAGAAAATCAAGTCATGGATCAGAAATCCAGTGATATTATACCCTTCACACATTCAAGATATACAGGTTAGGCATCTGTTACCTATTCCAGTAGAGATGGAAATCTAGGTGAACAAATCTACCAACAAAGGAACACAATAAGAGGGAAAAAAAAAGTAGCCAGCTTTTGAAAGGGTTCCAGATAACTACATACATCAATGTCTTCTTCAACTGAATATCTCTTGAACGTGTCCAAAGCTCCCTCCAAAAGCAGCTTCGTCACAATCTCATTAAACCGTGCCACAACCTTTGCAACGGAAACAAATTATTAGAAACATCAAAGGGATACACATCAAAATAGAATATAAATTGAACTACTGCAAATATTTAATTGAACCAACATTACCTAGATTACTTAATCATCAACTCAAGTTGCAATTTACCTCTTGTTTTTTTCTTCTTTTTTTTCTTTGGAGCAAAAAGTAAATAAATAAAAACTACATAATTTTAAAAGAGTCATTTTTTAAAAGAGTCATTCGTAGGGGAGAGAGAGGTGTTGTGAATGAAGAGGTTGTAAAATTTTGTTAAGGCATAACCACTAATTGCAACAAAATGAGAACATTAATATGAAGAGACAAAGTAGAACACATTGTTACATGGCCAGAAATTGGAATATATTTGAATGTTCAGGGAAAATGTGGAAATGCGACCAACATAGAACTGAAAAACATGAATGCACAGCTAGAAATATAATTTCATAGTACATTATGCATAAAATATATGCATATAAGCACAAAGTGAAGCATTCATTGATGAAATTGAATAAATCCCATGTGCTCATTCAAGCAAATGCTAAATAAAAAGAGAGGGGTGGACATAAAAAATAAATAGACTGACCACAGCAAAGCGAAGGCCCTCAATTGCAGTAAGAGATCCCGTCAAATGTCGAACAGCTGTTGTGCATGCGAACGACAAAGATCGGGTCTGAGAAAGATCATCTTCACTGCTCACACCCACTCCAACATTAAGCCAAAAGCCTAAAAATAAATAAATTAGATAGACATGATTAACACACAAATAGTTTTCATATTAAATTTAAAAAGAAAAATAAACCTAAAATTAAAACTATTCACCTGGGATGGCCAATGAAGAAGTTGTCATAGGTGTTAATTTACGATGAGGAAATAAACGACTACGAAGAGGAGAGTTGTGATGATGTCTAGGTGGTGTGAGCAATGAGCATGAGCTCTTCTCATGATTGAAGGAATGATAATAATCGTACTCTTTGTTGGCGGCAGTAGCGGTGGTAGTGTTTGTAGCACCAAATGTTGCAGCAGCAACCATTGTAACTCTTAAGTTCAAAGTTCAAATGACAACCCCTATGAGCAGGGACGGAGAGGGTTACAAATATTATGTACAAAAATTTAGACAAATAATGTCGACTATAGTTACATTTTTTTAACCATAATTTGCAATGCATTAACGTATATTAGACAAAAATATTCAATATAAACTAATATAGTAGAGGACCAAACAAAAAGTAGTTTTTTTTTTTTCTTTTTTTTTTCTAATTACAAATCCCTGTAGTCGTCTATTGAAGAAAAGAGTCATACCTAAGGGTGTCGGGCTACTGAGAATGAATATAGAAGATTCTTTCGCAATTTCAAAAAGAAAAGAAATTGAGAACCCAATGGTTTCTATAAAATTTTGGTGCTTTTCATTCGGATATCAATTTCAATCAATTTTTGAACAAAAACCAAGTCTTCATGTATATACTTCCGAACAAAAATCAATTGTTATTATGGGCAACCAAGGCTGGTGGAGCTGACATGGTTGATAATGTCTTTATCTATCTAATAAGAAAAAATGTTAAAATTAGAAGTCATATTGGGCTTTGTCTCAATTGTTATTCTTTTAAAATTTTTAAAAATAATTACTTTAAAATTTAGATGAGTGTATATGACACAGCAAACATAATTTTCTCTGTGTGATATGTATCTGAATTGCCAAATGACTATATTTATCCATGTTTGTTGTGTAAGCTATAGATGACTTCTAGCAGAACCCTGAATTTTTTTGCCAATTTTGAGACTAAGACCAGAGAAGGTGCAATAACTACAAAACACAAATATAGCACCCATCCAAAGAAAATATACACCAAAAGGGATCCAAAGATCCGGACTGCACTAAGAGGTAGTGCACCATGCCTAGACAATTCAAAAGAGGGTCCCTCAAAATCTTTTGCATTCGAACATGTAGAAGAACCAGCAGGGATGCCCAAACACACAAACACTAAACTAAAGTTTATTACAGCACTAGAATTCCAAAATAAATGGTTGCTCATAACCAGGTATCATATCATCTAATATGATCAAAACAAAATGCATTCATTTAAGAAATAATTTAATACTAAGACCCACAGACATTATCTTAACAAGGCAACTACTTATAACAGGTTCTAGCACAGCCAACAGATGATCACCTAGACTAGTGATGCAAATTCGTCCAAAAGATGAAATGGAACCTTAGACAAATTGACAATTTTATTAATACGGTCCATCAAAGAGGTAGGTGTGAGCACTAGGAAGCCGTTTTCATGTTATGTTGTGGGATCAATCTAGGGGCTTCAAGGAGCTAATCATCTAGGGGGAATAAGAGGGTAATGCTAGTGATTGGAAGGCACCAAGGGGATGCCAGATGGGAAAAAGATTACAGCACTTTAACAAACATAAAACAGGTGTCACCATTTTATCAGCCAAAGCCAAAAGTGAAAATATCTATAAATAGCCCCTCTACTGATGCCTTGAGGCAAACACATCTTATCTTTCACTAATTTTGACATATATAGAGGCCTCTCTGTCTCTCCAACTCTCCTTTTCTAGCAGTAACATGTACAAAGGCAGAACCGGGGGTGGAAAAGGGACCGTGACCATTTAAAGCTCTCAAAAGTCCTGCTAAATATTTCATTGTTTGCTCCTGAATATCTTAGATTGTAAAGACTTGACATCTAAAAAACAGAATACCAAAATGGCCAATATAAAAGATTGAACTCAGCATTCAAAACTAGCACAAAAAATCATAAACCCACTAAAAATAAATCTAGAGTTTAAAAGGATTTATGTCAATTAAACCAAACAAAATTAATCATAAACCCATCAAAATTAATAAGAAACCATCAAAAATACCAAAATACTCTCACCCATATTAGTTTTAGATCCATTAAAAAAACAAAAACAAAAGGATACAAATATAAAGCAAAAATTTGTTTACAGAAACAGATTGTTTAAAATAATTTTTTTTTAAAAACAGAAATTGTTTCACCAATTTTGAACAGAAATTTCAACATAAATTATGCTATAAATCAAGAAATCTGAAGCAATTAACAGAAGCAATCAAGTGATTTTTTTTTTTTTTTTTTTTGAAAAAAAAAGGAAATTTCAACAAATCTCAAGCAATCTAAAGCAAATAAATATAAAGAAAATTGGAGGGAATAAATACCTGGGAAAGGATGGAGAGAGAGAGAGAGAGGAGACCGTTTGTGAAAACAAGGGGAGAGTCTCTCGTCCACTTCCATCATCGTTCTTCTTCTACCATGGCCTCCTTTGTAACCCTAAACACACCGCCTTCCAATCTTCACTCTCTCCCTTCCCTCTTTTTCTACTCACCAGGGGCAACCGAAGCGGCTATTAGTGTGCGCTAGCTATGAGGTCGGTGAAGAGGATTGGAGAAGAGGGAGAGAAAGGTCAATCAGTGAGCGTGAGTGAGAGAAAGGCTTAGGGTAGGAGAGTAAAGGATGTCGGTGGTGATGAGGGATGAAGATGGAGAGAGAGAGTCTATAGAAAGAGATGAAAATTTCTTAGCCTGCGTTTGGTTGTGTTTTGTAAATGTGATTTGAGAGTATGAGTTTTATTTTGAGTTTGTGTGTTGTAGAATTATGATTTGAGTGTAGAAAATTTGTTTGGTAAAGAGTTTTGAAAATAGTTTTGGAAAAGAGGTTTGATTTAAGTGGGGAATTGTTGATGTGACATTTGATATGTGATACAAAAATTTACAACTCATAACTAAATATACAACTCAAAATTATTTTAAAACACATAAAAAATTTTAAAAAATTCAGAAAATATTTTTCCCGAGTATGTAAATCAATTACCAAAAAAAAAATAAAAAAAAAATCTGGAATTCAGAGGACATCTGGGTGGACGTCCCCAAGGACATCCGGGTGGACATCCGGGTGGTCTTTCGGGTGGACTTCCTCAGGCAAAATTTTGACAAAAAAACGCGGCCTGTGCATTAGAGTTCTCTACAGAGAGTGTGGAAAATTGATTTCAAAACCATAACCAAACATCATACTCAAACACACGTGTAGAAAATTGATTACAAATCACAACCAAACAGAGCCTTAATTTTTAATTTTTAATTTTAATATTTTTGGCTGAAAATTTCGTACTTTTCAATTTTGGCGCTAATTAATTTTTATTTAGCGCTTTTTTTTTTTTAGTAGCACCTTTCATGATAATAATTGTGTGTCGTGAAAAATGTAATATTTTAAACGATTGATTTATTATGTGTAGTGGAAAGTATATAGGCCTTGTTTGGTTTGTATTTCGTAAAAAATTTTGAAAAAAAATTTCTACAAATAAGTTTTCAAAAGTAATCAAGCCAAACAAATTTTCTTAAAAAAAATTTCCAAAACTTGTTTGTTTTACAAATTTTCCAAACAAATCTCTCTCTCATATTTATCAAATCAATCACTTTTTCCAAACTCTCTCAAAATAATTTTTCAAAACATCTTTTGAAAAAAAACAAACCAAACAAATTTTCGTATTTTTTATCTCAAAACATGTTTCTCAAATACAAACCAAACAAGGCCATAATTTTTGGCGGTTGATTTTTTGTGCGTCATTAAATATTTAATATTTTAATAGCTGGGGTACGTGTATTGTGTATAGTTAATGTATTAACGGTATGCTATATGCGCATCATAGAAAGTTTTATTATTTACGACTTTTTTTAATTTGTGTTTTGGTGTTGGGGTTTTTTTTTTTAAAAAAAAAATTAGGAATTGTATATTTTATCTAAAAATCAAATCGGAATATTTTATACAATCACACTTATTTAAAAAGTAGTAATGTATAAATAATCACACTTTAATTAGAAGGTGTGATTAAAAAATATATAAATAATCACACTTTAATTAGAATGTGTGATTAAAAATATATATATAATTAACACTTTAATTAGAAAGTGTGATTAAAAAATATATAAATAATCACACTTTAATTAGAAAGTGTGATTAAAAAATATATAAATAATCACACTTTAATTAGAAAGTGTGATTAAAAAATATATAAATAATCACACTTTAATTAGAAAGTGTGATTAAAAAATATATAAATAATCACACTTTAATTAGAAAGTGTGATTAAAAAATATATAAATAATCACACTTTAATTAGAAAGTGTGATTAAAAAATATATAAATAATCACACTTTAATTAGAAAGTGTGATTAAAAAATATATAAATAATCACACTTTAATTAGAAAGTGTGATTAAAAAATATATAAATAATCACACTTTAATTAGAAAGTGTGATTAAAAAATATATAAATAATCACACTTTAATTAGAAAGTGTGATTAAAAAATATATAAATAATCACACTTTAATTAGAAAGTGTGATTAAAAAATATATAAATAATCACACTTTAATTAGAATGTGTGATTATATATATATATATATATATAATCACACTTATTTGAAAAGTGACATAAAAAATAAATATTATCACACTCAATCAAATTAAGTGTGATTAAAATATCAATCTAATTTTTTTTATCACACTTCCAATAAAAGTGAGATATTTTTTTTTTGTCAAAGTGTGATCTTTAACTATTTTGTAGTAGTGAAGAACAAAGCTTCCCTTGCAATCAGAACCTTCATAACTTTGATTGAACAGTATCGCTTTGAAAAATCGACGGGAAGAAAGAGAATACAAAACTGAGATTGTAGACGGTGGTGCTCACCTCAGTGTCACTTGGTGAAATGGGAGACTGTTTTGCTCCCAGCTAAGGTTAGCAAATATAACTCAAAAATCATCAAAATTCGAAAAAAAAAATGAAAAACAAAATAGTTGCAAAAATCAATTGAAAGCGAATACCATTTTCTCACAAATCAATCAGATTAAGAGCGATCAAACCCTAAATTTCCTTCAAAAGCGCAATGTAGGCAAACCCATTGATTCTTTCCAATGTACCCAACAATGTGAATAACCTACAAGATCCAATTTTTGCCCCCAAAATCGATAAACTCGCACCAGAGACAACTTTCTCTCTCTATATCTTC